TAAATGTTTTTAATAAATTCCCGACGTTAAAAGAGCTGTTTCTTAAATATAATACCGCAATCCCCTTATCTGCTCGGGTAGAGCGCGTTTTTAGTATAGCTAATGGCGTATTAACTGCCAAGCGTTTCTCTCTATTCAGATGAAAATTTTTAAAACAATTGTTAATAAAAATTAATAAGAAAAATTTTTTATAAATAAAAATATCTTTTTATTTGCTATTATATTATATTTTATTTATAATTATATTATCAAAATAAAACTACATTATTTTTTAACATGTCTAATTAATATATTGTGTTAAAAAATATAACATTTATTTATATTAAATTTAATTTTAAAAAAAATTTATCATAAAATTTTGAACGAATGTGAACGCATTCCTTTTTTTTAGAAATGTTCACAGCACTAATATTAAGTAAAGTTAGTCCATTCAATCGATTTTAAGATGTCAAACTTTTGAAGGTTTTTATTCTTTGTAATGAAAAAATGTCTTTTCTTATTTGATTTGTACTAACTGGTATCATTGACAAAATATACACTAATTTTAATATATTTGGAAAAACTCATAAAATATATTTTAAAGTATGCAATATTTCTTGGAGGATTTTATCTATTAAAATTAATCTTTCATACCAAGATTTAAATTCTGAAATTAATTGGCCTTCACATTTATATCCTATAAATAAAATTTAGCTAAATAATTTTTTCGATATCTATATTTAATATATCCTTGATAGAGTTATAAGATATTTGTAAATAATAGAACCATTTGATGAATCATAAATTCATTGATTTGAACCAAAAATGTGTAAAGTAGAATAAAAACGATGATTTTATAGTAATAACAATTGAATTTTCGTTAATATTGGAACCATATGGTTGTCAGTGAAAGTCGAGTCTGGCGAATCTCCAAATCATATCATTTCACTTTAGCCTCAGAAATCACAAATCTCAAGAAATTATTGGTCGATATTAACTCTTAGTTTTCTAAGTTTTAATATAATAATAATATTAGCGATTCTCATAATTTCAGCCAAATCCAGATAATTTTTTTGTAAAATATTGTATATCATGATTTATCAGCTTAAAATATAATATCGGTTTCAGGCCATTCTGATATTTCTCCAAGAGCACTCATCTTGGCGGTATGCTTTTTGAAGTTTCTTTCTTCCTTTAGCACAATAAGTCTCAAAGATAATAATATTTTTCTGGTTGATAAAATTTTCTATATCCATATCACTATTTAAGGTTTAAAAAATGTAAGAAAATAAACTTTAATCTTCGTGCGATAAGATATTAATATATAAGGAATAAATATTTAAATTAATTTCAACAAATTGCTAATATTTAGAATTGAATATAACCTATTTAAAATATTATTTTAAAATTCACAATGCATGAAAACCTTTTATATTTTGTTTAAAAATTTTGAATTCAGTATTATTTAATGTTATAATGATATCATATTGTGCATCTTAAAATTTTAATAAAATATAAACATTTATTGCATTTAATGAATTTGATCATGTTAAAAGATTTAAACTTAAACGATAACTAGAAGAAATAATAGAAAAGTTGTGGCTAAACATTTTTATAAGCAATTCTAAAAATCCGGTGTTTTTGGCTAAATTTATATGGGTAATCTTAGGGTTTTATTTTGATTATTATTTTCTGTAAATTTTGATATATTTGATGACAATTAATTTAGCTTTAGAAGAATACTAAAAAGTGTCATTTTAAAACATATCATATCCACATCTATTCATATTTTTTAATGAAATATAATCTATTTTTTATGAACTTAGAAATTTAATTTTCGAATATAATATTCGTCAAATCGAATCAAATTGATTTTATTATTTGTATGTGAATCGAATAACACAATTATTCTATTCAAAATTTCAAATCGAATGAGAATAATAGAATTATTTGATTAAATTTGGGGATATTCCATGTCAAATCGATCAAAAAAAGCGCATTTTTGGCCGACCCCTTTTAAAATTGTTAAAAATTTCTGGAATTAATTATATAGGAGAACGCTGTTTATTTTAGCTCGCTAGCACACCTGGTTCCCGAGATATAGGGGCTCATAGGTGTAAAGAAGAGCCATAAAATTTTTTAAATGCTTACAAAAACTATTTATAGTAAAAAATATATAATATATCATATTGTAGGTAAAAGAAATAGGGCTATCAAAAAACAATAAAAATTGGCGCCAATTTGAGCTTTTAACTTTCGGTTTACCTATATTGCTTTACCTGTGTTTTTAAGCAAAAAAGGGAGTTTGTTTTTGATTTTTTTTGTTTTTATTTAGACACCTTTTATAAATATATATAGGATGTCAAAACCTTGGCGACGCTATCGACTCTTCCGAAATATACATTATAAAAAAATAGATAGCGCTAATGGTTGAAAAATATTATTCTTTAGGAAAATGAAAATATTGATATGTTTATAAGAAATGTGATAAAATTTTCCAGTTCTGACCCCCCCCCCCACAATCCTTAAAAAGTTTTACATTTTTTTAGATACTTTGCTACTATAGCGAATGACTTATTAGCTCGATAATGACAGCTGCATTAAAGGAATATTTTATTATGCATATTGTCGGTTATATTTTACTAGCATATTATTTTACAAAATAAACTTTAAAACGATCTCTCTTTCTGCCTAATATTTTTAACTTGCCCGTTCAGATTAATTTTAAAAGTCAACCCGTCTGCAGCTTATTATTTTATCGTCTGTCTACCAATAACATTCGGGATTTGGAGATTGCAAAAACATATATTTTAGGTGCAGATCAATTAAAATTTTATTCTATATCACGGACGTACCAAATGTTAAAATATCAATATGTTACATTTAATCTACAAAGACATGCTCATTATCGCAAGAATCTAAGAAAGATTCTACCCTGGATGACCCAAAAAATTTACTAATAAATTTAGATAGGTTAATTTGCTCTTCATGCGACAAAAATTAGCAAACATTCCTTATACTTCAAATGACAATGTAGATATTGATTCCCCCACCCCCTCATATAATAAATCAAGAGACTATTGATAACATTAATATATCCCTACAAGCAATAAGGGAATCTCCCATTAAAATAAAACGCTTATGTGAAAAGAAATATCAAAAGAAAAAAATATCTAGAGTAAAAAAGTTTTAAAGACTAAAATTATACTATTATTTCATCAAATGATGAAAAATTAGATTAAATTCTAGATACCTTAAAAATCAATTTTCCACAGCTGTCGATTACAAATAAATATAGATTATTAACATTATTACCATCTGGATAGTAAGAATGTAAAAGAATTTAATATTTCATAACAAATGGCGTTAAAATCAAAAGGTTTAATAGAAGAAAAGAAGTTTTTTTCAACAACGAATCCTAAACCTGGTAAGATAATAGATGCCGCCACCGTTACTATTGTCAAAATTTTTATAGCAATGATGAATAAATTAGACCGATGCCTGGGATAAGGGATTTTGTTTCTACAATAAAAAATGGTGAAAAAATTCAAGTCAAAAAAAATTAATTTTAATTAATTTACCAGACCTGTTTCAGAACAAATAACTTATCCTAAAGAGTTTTTTGCTTATTGTAAGAAAAATAATAAAGGTAAAAGATTTATAATTTATTAATATATATATTAAATAGATTTCTTCTATATTATAAAAGACGAATATAAAAAAGAGCAAATAATTTTAGAAGAGAGATTCAATAAAGCGAGTACAATACCAGGAACGCAAAAATTTCATACTTTTCATCCAATTTCTCAGGATAAAATTGAAGCTAAATTTTATTCATACTCAACAGAATCGCAAATATTAAATAATACATTTCACTCGAATATTAATGCGAATTTACTATAAAAAAAATGGATATAAAACATGGGAAAAATGGTGGGTTATCTATGTTTTAGAAAAAAAATCGAAAAAGAGGTATTAGTTAATTTTTTGCATCCTCAAGGACCCTCAAATTCTTATACATATCCATCCTTGATTAACAAATTGTGGATACATAAATCACAAATTTTACATGTGGTCAGTCCTTCAATTGCTACCGGACGAACATATACTTTACATAAGAATGAGACAATTAAACTATTCATCTTTTTAATTTATTATCTTAAAATATTAATTATTTATATCTAACTAAATTTTGTTTCAAATATATTTTAAATTATGAAATGAATATGATTATCTATCTATATTATTAATAAATGAATAATAAAAAAATTATACGAAATATATTTATTATTGGAAATTTGTTAGAATATAGAACGTCTAATGGGCATTTGCCCACACTGCCCTTCAGTTAATAGTATATTTAATAGAAGAAATTCTTTAGTATAAAAAATGAAAATATCCTATCATTGGTAAATTAGCAACAAAATTTTAATAATAATCAGCAATTTCATAAAGCCTCATCTATTTTTTTCAATTTTTGGTAAAAATGTTTATTTTGGAAGAGTTGATAGTCTTGCCACGGTTTTGACATTGTATATATATATTTAAAAAGGTGTCTAAATAAAAAGTAAAAAAAAATTTCAAAATCAAACTTCCTTTTTTTGCTTAAAAATACAGGTAAAGCAATATAGGTAAACAGGAAGCCAAAGACTCAAATTAGCGCCATTTTTTACTTTTTTGATAGTCCTTTAGTGATTTTTTTACCTACAATATGATATATTATATTTTTTTACTGTAAATAGTTTTTGAGGTATAAGCATTTTAAAAATTTTGCAGATTCCAAAGTGGCTCTTTTTTGTACCTATGATCTCCTATATCTCGAGAACTAGGTGTGCTAGCGAGCTAAAATAAACGGTTTTTTCATTTTTTTTACTTATATAAATAATTCTAGAAATTTTTAACAATTTTAAAAAGGGGTCAGCCAAATGGTGATAGATTTAACATGGAATATCCCTTTGTTGACCAACTTGCCAATCCTGTATCTAATTAATACCAGAATATTTTATATCATATGTACCAACCTGGCTTAAGGCCCACAAAATGATGAGGGAGGTGAGGGAAGACTTCATTTTGGAAGGGTCAGTCCATCAGCCTGTATAACATCATAAGTCATAACTATCTATCTATAGAAGCTGTTAATCCAAAGAGTTGATTGAAGATTAATATAGGCCCAGTAGAAAAATATTAATTTTATATTTCCTTGATATATTTTTTTGCTCTTAATTATAAAAAATATGAAAAGTTGTAAAAAAAATCAGGAGGTGGATTTATTATTCATTTTCATATTATAGTTTGCAATAAATAGATAAAGATTATTAAATTATCAAAGTTATTCTAATATATAATATTAAAATAGAGAATAAAATAAATATTTTGAGTTAATGTTTTTTTCCCTATAAGCTTTTTTTAAATCTAGGCCACAAAACAAAACACAACAAGGTGGGCTTTGATCTTAAAATAATTTTGCCAATAAATCAGGTAGAATTGTCTAAAATATCAATCTTACAGGTCTCTAATCTAAACTACACATCTCATAGTAGAAAATAAAAATAAGAGTTGGCTATTCAAATGAGAGAATAAATATTAATCATCAATAATAAAAAATATTATAAGATAATTAATATATTGTATTATATTAATAATTATTAAATTTATAAATAATAAAGGATTAAATTATAAAATAAACACATAATTATATATAAGAAATGCATATTTAAATTTGCCATTGTATAAAAAAAACCATTTATAAAGATATATTAAGTTTAGTTTATGAATATATTAATAATATAAAGATAGTAAATTGACTCAAATAATAAGACTAAAAAGTACATAAACTGTATTTAAAAAAATCATTTATACTTTTTTATAATTATTTTAAGTTCCAACACTATTGACCAAATACTCTTATGATTAGGGACTAATTTATACTTAAGTTATATAAAATAAAATCAACGAAAAAATTACATTGTGGCGAGTAATATTTCCAGCTGACTTTCATAAAAAGCGAAAATGCTGGATATTTAAATGAGATTTTTATATTTAATATAGAAATGAAAAAAAATACCATTATAATCATATATTCATAATATTCTTAAAAAAATTTATATATAATAATTATTTTATGCGATGTTAGATAATAATTATTTTATGCGATGTTAGATAATAAGATTTCATATGATTACTTATAAACTTATTTAATAAGTAAAATTAGTTAACTATTGTTGTTTATAATTAAAATCAATAAATATATATACTCTTAAATTATTTTATGAACCAAAAATTTAAAATGGAAAATAAAAAATTATTGCATACTACTAGATTGGTGATTCATTCATTTAATCCATTAAAAGTGCCCATCCATAGGAGGTAGCTATAGCACCATTTTGTAGTTAGCACGTCGATTAAATGGCATTAATGTGCATTCAAATAATAATAAATATAAGACTATTAGTCGACGTGTAAACAGCGTTACAGCTGGCCTCTTACATATGCACAATTTTAATTGATGATAGATCTAGTAGTATTGCAAATTATCAAGATTTGAAGAGTTGTGCTTTGCTTTATGATTCTTTAGAGTTCTCTTTAGGGATTCTTTGATTCAACACTACAAGCTTTTATTTCTAAAAATAATTTGCAGAAAAATAACTCACGTTAATTACAAAAACATCATCAAATTTCAGGGAAAAAACTTCCACTGATTTATTATAAAATTAAAAATAAATATACAATAATTGTTTGACATTTCCTATATTCTTTTTTAATTTAGATTATTTAATTTATATGTTCGCAAATTGCGACAGCCAACCTTCAGATACCCAGTGTCTATTTCTTCCTGGTCCATATGAAGTTTCGGATTTATTCCATTATCGTATTGTGGCATTGACCCAGCTATATAATTTATCCAATCGTCCATTTAAATTGTATCGGTTTTGGTATGCTTATTGAATCGTTCCTTTTTGATATTGATTTATGGTGAATCCTGGAGCGAAAAACCCCGGAAACCTTCAGAAAAAAACCCCAAATAAAACCCCCCGGAACCTCTCCACCCCCCCCCCCATTTTCCCCCATATTTATAGAATTTACTTAAGACCTAATAGCATAGGTATTTTTGTTTGGATTATAATGGATATACTCATATTTATAAGGTATAGACAAATTAGTATTTTAGAAGAAAATATTATTAAAAATATTATTTATTAATAAGCTAAATCTTTAGGCCCTAATTCATTATTTAAAGTTTACTAATATACCCTCCATAAAAAATGCTTAAACAAGATGTTGATGTAAACTAGTACTAGGAAAAAATACCCCAGTAAAATAACCCATGTATTTCTCATTTTCGTAAAAATTATTTCCTATAGTAATAAATCCAATATCCATCCTTAATTACGATATTAAAATAACTAAATTTGGCAAAATTTTTTAATAATATATATTTATTTTATTCGTAAATCATGATTATGTATATACAAATTTAATAATTTAGAATAATAATTATATGAATTGACATTGGATATTGAATGAAAGCATGTTTTAATTTTATAAAAGCTGTTTTTCAGTCAGTTTTATCAGTCAACATGGCTTAGATGAGAATAGGAGGGGGGGGGGTGGAAATCCCCTTTTCGGAAATTTGCCTATTCTCTTAAATATCATTTGGAAAATTTACCCCATCACATCCCCACCTAGTACCTTACCTTCAAGGTGAGTAAATTAATTTAGGACAGAAAAATTTATTTTATTTTATAAATTTTTTGTATTAGGTCATATCCTATCTTGATCATACACTTTTAATTGAACTCAAATTGGGCAACTATTTTCTCTAGCCGATTATCATTGCAAATATTATATTTTTTCCTAATGTTTTTATAAATATCTTAGCACTTATAATTTCACGCTTCCTTATTTTGTCAGATTGAAATTAAACCCATTATTGAGTTATTCAAAAATTTTATTATTTGATTTCCAATTTTAAATAATTTATTTTAAATATTATTTCTACATATTAATTGTTTATTGACAAATAAAATAAAATATATATTAAAGTATATAAAATCAAATTAAATTTATATTTGTTTCTTATAAATCAGGCACATCTGCATAAATTTTCTACATAATAACCATTCGGGCATATACAAAGGTTATCATCGGGATCATAACATATCCTAACAAATAAGTCAGTGGAACCAGGTTCGCAGTTTGGGGTACAAACTCGTGCTTGTACAATACTACTGGTATATTCTATACATTATATTTGGTTAAATTAAATTTATATATAATTTTAATTTTAATTTCTAACATAGTAATATATATGTAAGAATATAGTCAATTAAAGTAATAAGTCAATACAAGTAATTACTGATTAATATTTTAGTTAGTATATGCATTTCCAATATATGCTAATTAAAAATGACAAAAAAGATTAATCGCAGAATTGTCTGAAATTTATGGAATAGGTATTCTACACATAAATACATTTTTATATCAGATAATTTTAAATTTAATAACTGCCCTAAACCAATAATTGTGATATATACCATAAATAATTTATTTCTCGTGTTTTTATTTTTAAAAATATGTTTTTCAGTCAGTTTCACCAGCCACCATAGGCGTAGATGGGAGTGGATGAGGGGGACAAGTATAAATCCCCTTTTCAAAATTTGCCTACTCTCTTACATACCATTTTAAGCTAATAAAAAATTTCCCTCATCAGTTCCCCACCTACCTCACCTTAAAATATGTAAACGATATCAAAGAAGAATTTAAAAGAAAATTAGTAATAGTTTATATTAAAAATAGTGATTATAATTCAAAATTTTTAGAGAACCCAAATCTAGTTTTATAAAAATATAATATAGTCATAAGCCTATAATAAGTGGGCCTACAGATCAATAAAACGTATGAGGAAAAACCCCATTTAATAGTACCCCCTCCCCCTCCATAGCAAAATCCTTGCTGAGCCTGTGCACAAAATCCATTATAACTTATAAGCAAAATAAAAACTGCCGTCCTGCCAAAATTAAGCTAGCAAAACTTTTGAAAGCATTAATTATGATAGTAATATGCCAGTACGAAAAATGTAGATGCGATAAATATCTAGTTCGCTCAATAGTTATTACTTGTTTAGTTCTTATCCTCGCTGGCCCCAAATGAAACCAAGTTGTAAGCAAAATAAAAAATGTAATCACGTCTTTAGGATAAATTACAGTATGCCAAAATTTTGGTAACACTAATTCAAATGCTTAGTGATGAAGCGTCAATTCTTAGAAAAATTCCTAAATTAAATTAATATATTTTTATCCTACTTTAAAAAAAGATGAATACTATTTTTTTTTACTACGTTAAAACGGTTAGGTTCAGGTTCGAGTTCGGATAAAAATAACGTTCAGGGTTCATGTTAGGTTAATAAAAATAATAATATCAATTTGGTTTCAAATCTCTTAAAACTGGAACTCTTTTGTATATAAATTTACATAAGAATTAGATATAGAGAACCACATTTTTTTTATTTCATAGAAGAATATACATCAAATTATTTAATTATTAATTGCACATTGTAAATAAAATTAATTTATAAATGATATCAAATAAATATCAATTATTAACTCAAATATTGAACTTATACCTCTATATAGAGAAAGTATAAATTTTATTGTTAAAAACATCTCTCTAGACTAAGAATGCATTCAAAGTGGAGACGGATCCGTTTTTTACATCCGTTCCGTCAAAAGTCAATCTCATTAATAATGATATATATTGATTTTCATTTTTAAAAAATTATAATTAACGTTATAACGCTCTATAAAATTTGTAGGATCAAAAAGTCAAAATGTTTTGACTTCAAAATTTGTCAGATCCGTTTTTAAGACCGAAGGTATTGGAGCGGACGCACTTTGAACATATATATCATTTTTAATGAGATTGACTTTTGACGGCAGCGTCTACATGACAGGATTTTTACTGGATGCAAACCCCCTTCAAAAACTTTTGCCTACTTCCCTAAAAAATTATCTAAAGGATTTATTTTTTAGATAATAATTTCAATTAAATCCTCCATTATTTACAATGAATTTATTATTATAATTTTATGAGCTTGCTGAAATATCTAAACCTTTTAAATGTAATTTAAAAGGATAGCAGAAAGTTTTATTTGGAAAACAATATGTATAATTGTTTGCA